GAAAAACGAAATGAATCAGGTCTGAGTATAAGAACTGTCAAAGATGTCATCATGCAAACCCCACATTTCAAAAATAGGAGAGTACTTTTTATTCAGATCTTCACAGCGGTTTGGTTTTCATCTCAGCTCGTTTGAGAGAGTAACGAAAATCTTTCCAGTCGCGCCAGTTAACACCGTTACCCAGAGTGGGGTGCGGACCTTTCAGGTAGCGGCCATTCAGGTTGGAATGGTGACAATCACTGTTGCTGTACCACCAAGCTCCCTCGAATTTATTGGCACAGTCATTTTTATGATTGTTGTTCTTTTGATCTTTTGTGGAGAATTTCATATTGCGATGTATGTTGAGCGAGTCGCCCGCAGTCCCTACAACCGAGTTATAAACCGTTAATACTGTCATATGCTAGGAAAATACCCTCAGTTTCACTTTTTTTTACCAGATACCAAGTGAGAAAGAGAGAAACGTGACTTTGCTCCATTTCGCCCCGTTTTGACCCTTGTAAGTAATCCGGATTCCGGAATGCAGAGAATTTGGCTTTTGGAATCCGGAACTCATGGTTTTGGATCCAGAATTCATCTCAAGGAATCCGAACTCCCTCTAAAGATTGTAATCCAGAATCCAATTTCCTCCGAGAAGGAGTCCGGAATCTAAGTTCCACGGCGTTTCTACTGATAAGAAATGCTGTGGGATCCAGTACCTGGAATCCGGGATCCACAGATTGGAATCTGTAATCCACTACCTGGAATCCGGATTCCACAGATTGTAATCTGGAATCCAATACCTGGAATCCGGAATCCACAGATTGTAATCTGGATTCCAATATCTGGAATCCGGAATCCACAGATTGGAATCTGGAATCCAGTACCTGGAATCCGGAATCCAAGACTGTCTTGGACCCTACATAGGGCGACTCGGTTCTTAAAATACTACTGACGTTGCTTGCCCACTGGGTAGTTTTTCACACCGTAATTTATAGGGAGTTATTATAGCTCCAAAAATATATGGAGGAAACATTTTAGGTACAGGATAACCCCATTTTTGGGATTACTTTAACTGCTAATTTAACTCCAAATTTGAGGTCATTTTTACTTCCTGAAAAAGAGTTTTTTTTACTCCCAGTCTGGAGTTAAAATAACTCCGAAAATGGGGTTATTCTTACTCCTTACATGAGTTGTTTTACTCTTTTTGGAGCTAATTTAACTCTGAAAGTGGAGTACAAATTTTAGGTACACGTTAACTCCTTTTTGGGGGTATTTTAACTCCTTAATATCTGGGGTCATTTTTACTCCTGAAAAAGAGTTCTTTAAACTCCTTTTTGGAGTGAAAATAACTCCCCAAAAAATAGCCCCACTTTAAGGAGTTAAATTAACCCCTCGTTTGTCGCATCCTTATCCTTACCAGTGTATTGTCCAAGTTGCAGCCTATATTTTTGTTGCTCGTTGGCGACACCAAACGAGTCGTACATAGCGTAGGCAGTTTCCTCGTCAAAGTCTGCGAGATCCACTCGAAGCCTGCTATGATTTTTTGTTAAGTGGTGTATCTTGTCTAGGCCAAGCCAAAACTCACCATTCAGATTTCCAAAGCCTCGTTTGTAGTCATCCCAGCCGCGGAAGAAATCAACCGAGCCGTCCAGTCTCTTCTGAAAAACTGTCCACCCCCCACCGTCTGTTGTTTGGTCACAGTACACTTTGAAGGCACCGGTGTTGTCAGGGTCGATGCTGTAAACACCACTTACTTGAAAACCAGCTTCATAAAGCTCAGCACAGTTTCTGTAAACTGAAAAATTATAACCTATCAATGAACAATCAATAACAGCCGTTGAGAAGCCAGGAACGAAACATTCTAGAGAAAAGGCTGTCTTGAAAGAACTTGCAAATGTGAAATTAATAATAAAACGATTATGGAATTCGACTTTCGATTGACACGATGCAGATCTTTAAGGCTTTTATTCACCTCTGCCGATACACCCTCCCCGATCTTGGTTGCCATGGTAACTTCAATGATGATATTCACGTCACAACGAATTTAAAATGTTTGCAAATAATGTTTCGGAAAAGTCGCTAAGATTGGCGCCCCCTCACTCCCCGTATGAATATGGTTAAACGACTCTGCATAGAGTAACTCCGCCGTACAGTTGAACACCGGTAGAAAGTTTGAGATTGACATCAGTGTTAAAAAGTAACGATGCGAAATAAATGGGGGGCAAGTGGGGGGCAAGTTGGGGGGGGCAAGTTTGTGTCCCATACCATTACTACAAACGTCTGCTAAAACTCACCACTTAGCTCGCTTTAGACGTGTGACTTTCAAACTTAGCTCATTTCAAGGTGCAGTTTTTGGCAGTCTCTTTGAATATTTGCTTACTGGTTCTCATCAAAATTTGAGAAAAAAAAGAAGGGGGGAAGGAGGGGTGGATTTAGTACACTGAAAATTCAGACGAGTGTTCCATTACCTTCATCACATTGATCTCCTTTAAAACCCTCGCGACAGACACATCTGTATCCTTTGGTTGTAAACCCTACTTGACACAAAAAGTTCTCTCCAGGGCAACGGCTACGGTGACAAAAATTCTAGGTATGAAAAAAAAAAACGAACGAGAAGGCCGATGTAGTACATTTGTATCATTATTTAATTTTTAAATAGCTACAGCTCCCGCTTACGTCATTTAACTGGTTAACAGATTTTATTTGATGGCATTTTCAGTCTATTCAATACTTATTACGCGGGATGACGTAGTCAGCCAGCGTTATAAATTCGGTTGCGCATTCTTTTCGTATTTTTTTCGGGAGTCAAAAATTGCCGTGTTTTTTTAACTTTCCCGGCCGTATCCCGTGCCGCCCCGAAAAATTGTGCGATTTTTATTGGCTGCAACTTCCAATCACGTGTAAGTCAGGCTGTCATAGGATGTGATTTTTCATGAAAAAAAAATATTCACAAGATTCTGCTTGACTTGTTTACAAAATAATTTCTTTAATTTTTAATAATTGACTAACAGCTCAGTGATTTATAAATTTGGGCGACAAACTTGTAGGCCCGGACACCCCAGCTAAAATGTTTGGGAGACCGAGGGGCTTCCTGAAATTTCCCCTGGAGCACAGCCTTGCATCCCTGAAGTTATTGCAAGTACGACACATTACATCCTATTGTTGAATGTGGAAGTGCATTTTTTGAGGACATTAGTAAAGGGAATGCAAATTTTAGTGAAATACCCCATACTGTTAACATATATGGTGGTCATATTGATGTAAGTTTTGTTTTGAGTAGCAAAGGAACCCTTGTGTATAACTCATCGTCTAGTGTATTACTCTTTATCAGAACATTTTTGTCTCTCCTGCACACATATGTTGTTGATCTACTGCAGCTCAACTTTTCATTGCCATTCAACATACCGGTAATTCTTACTTACACCAACATATCCCGCGTAAACGCCTTCGGGCGTCTTCTTGTTTATCTATATATTGCAATATATCGAGTTGCTTTCTCCCCATTCATGGGGGTATGATCAGACAGCCGCTGGGCTCATCCTTCAAGAGGATGTGTCATTATCATGGCTGTCTAGTGCTTCATTTTGTTTACAATGCGTGAGTGTCCTTATTCGTTACGTACTATGTGAAATTACTGGTGAATGACAAAATCACAGCTTTGTGTCAAGTAATAAGTCTCCCAAGCATTTCAATCAATCGGTGCAAACAACAAAAAATGAACTCTGAATAACTGTTAAGCCGACAAGTTTTCCTCATAACTGACTACAAGTGCAATCCAGGGGCACCCAGGGACGGTTTTCTCCTCAATGCATTGAACACACTTTTTAGGCTATCCAGAGTACTTTTAGACCTCTTGAAATACATTCTGATCGGCGCTATAAAATTGATATCTGTTCGGTCATCCTAGGACAACTTGAGTCTTTTCGAAGTTACCAGGGCTTCAGTATTGTCTTCCCAAAAATTTTAGATGAGAGAAGAAGAGAGAATTTTTCTGATTCCTCTTTCCATCGCATTTTCGAATCCGAAATTTTAGGTCTTCTTTTTTTGCGAAAAATAGCTTAATCTGGGGGGCGAAATGCCAAAAATTAAACTTCAGAAAATCTTTGGGGATTCATTAGATAAGCCTCAAAAATTATACATAAATGGAACGGTCATCACGTGCATCACTCTTTTTAGTACATTTCTTTGACGTCCACTACACGACTACGACGTGAAACCTCCTAATATTTGCCGTTTTATGGATGACGTGGATATTCGACGACGAATTTTCGTTCCTCTTTTTGAATCGGAATAAAATCCTTTAGGGTTTAACTCCAGGAAAAGTCGCTTGATTTGACATATTGAGCGGGTCCAAACAGACGCGATTAAGTTTGAAAGAACACAAATTCATTTTTTTTTTTTTTTTTAACCGACGCCTTTCACTACCGTCGTCGTCGTCCGTGCTTAAGGTCCCTAATGTTTCACACAGTACGCATAGCAATTGCCACTGTTTGAATTTTGATAAATTTCGTGACACAGCTCCTTTAGCTAACGTTTTAACCTCTAAGAGTGGTCAGAATTAAATTTCTCCTAGTAATATCCATGCTTTGTAAAACAGAGTGGTCATGAGAATTACGGACATGATAACACAAGACGGATTTGCTTGATATTTTATAAACTTCTCCCCATTACTTCTGCAGGAAATGAATAGGGGCAACAAATGAGAATTCAAATTTTGATCTTAGGGTTTTAAGGTTTAACTACTTAAAGATGCGTTGTACCTCAATAGCAAAGTGAAGGTGATCTTTTCTTTCTTCCAAGTCAGATTGCGCAGAGCTTTCATCAGTGAAGTTTTTTAAATCGCACGTTCTTGTTCCCTCGACTTCAGGTCCAACGTTGATGGATACACAGTTTGGATCCAAATAACACTTCACTCGGCAGCTCCCCTCGTTTTTGGCCTTTTCAGTTCTTATCACGTGACCAGGAAGAACTTTATCGTATATCGGTTCTTTAAAACTGATGATGCGGTTATATTCTGCCATAAAATAAAGAAAGAACCAAATGTATGTCGCTACACTCGCGTTTCACTTTTTTTTTTGTCACTTAACACCGCAAATGTACAAAATTCGAAGATTTTTCAGTGTTTTCCATTTTCTTTTACTCAGTCAGTTGAGATTTTACCTAGTGTGCGAAATAAATAATAGTATATGTTCGTTCAGTTTTGCCTTTTTTAAGCACATTTTCGGCTTGCGCTTAGTTAAACCCCCGGCTGCGATGACAATATAACATTTGCTAATCCTAAGACCCTCTTTCAAATGTACATAATTATGTTACTTTGTTACCTGACATGATTAAAATAAACTAAACATCGAGTACCTCTAACTCCTGATGTGATGTCTCAGTCAATATCGATCCGTGTTCTTTATATTTACTTAATTAGCCTTTAGGGACCTTATTACGGTGGTAACTAGGGAAAATATTCATAACCCAGCCGCAATATCTAAACAATATGAAGCACGTTTAGCTAAAAGAAACTAAAACCTCGGGAAAACTCTCTTACGACAGTTGAACTATGGGCATGCAAAAAGTAGCAAAACTGCGGGCAAAGCGCCGGATTTCTTGCTGTTATACATTTGTTTTCAGTAAATGAAACTGAATTTAAAATTGGTCGATTTACGTCACTAACCCTTTTTTACAGTATTTATTGTCAAGAGAGGATTATTATTTTATACTTGTCGACTTAAATCGACTTAAATTCCTCAACCCAACACGTAAGGGCAGTTTTCGAATATTAAGTAATTTTAAAACACTCCAGGTTAGACGAAAATTCACTAAACGTTTTCTTTTGCCTGATTTTCTCGTCTTAGCTTGATGGTTTTCATGACTACATATTCACATATATCTCCACTTTTAAAAAAAAGCAACGTCAAACCTCGCGAACTACCCTGGTATGGATGACAGAGACGTTTCATGTTCGTTTTCGGCGTTTAAACTGACCAGACCGAAAAGCGTTTCGGTCTCGCGTCAAAGCCTTTTCTCGCGGTTTTGGCAAGGTGGCCGATGATATTAACACCTTATAGGGCAACACCGAAACATCCCGACATCCCGCGTCTCGAGAGGAAAACTCCTCTGGGACTCATAGCTCGGTACTACCCTTAGGGAAAAAAAAATTCGGAACCTTCAAAACTCATTTACCTTCAAAGTCCTTTTTTTAAATTTGATATTAAAATATGACTACGTTATATATTACAGATCGATCAGAGTCAGCGCAATTGGATTAAGCACTGCAATCAGTGTAAATGAATTATTATCGAACTTTGTAACTGTATTACTTTACGTATTTTATCTCTCTCTTATTTGTCAGATTATCTTACCAGAAGCGATTCCACCGATTGCAAACGAATTCCACGCGAGGAAAATACATACTGTAATAGACTGCATTATCAGAAGCTGCTTTTGCAGTTTTTCATCCTCTGAAGAATCCCAGATCACAATTCGTCCATGCAAACCGCTATATTTTTCAGTCTTTAATTATACCCTTCGCGTGCTAGTAGCTGGTGTATATTATTTAGTTATTATTGTTAAGGACTCATCAATAATTAAAATTAATTTCATGGGGAAGTTATTTTACTTTGAAATGAATTTTTTAACTATTTAGGTCCTTGTTCTTCAATCAGACGAGTATGGGTTATATTTTCGTTGAAATTGGGTCGGGAAAAAATACAAAAATTTGAAACGATTTTAACCCATGTCACTGTTCAGCCTTGTCCAACAATCTTTTTACCTAGTCTCCTCACAATGAATTTCTAATAAATACTTGCTTACACATTCACAATCAACATTCTCATTGTGCTCGCCGAAGATACCTGTTCAATGTTTGTTTTGCGACACTTTCTCCAAAATTAGACTCGAATAAATTACGCCATCGCGGGAACATCTTGCAGCTGTAATTTTAGAAGCACACGAAAAGGAGAATTAACACTTGAAACAACGCGTGTTGTTAGTGTTTTTAACGGCTCAAAAATTGTCCCCGGAGTTTTTCTCCAGGCCTATAGCTCGCCAAAAGATAACGTCTGAGCTCCCGAAAATTTAATTCAAGATGGCCGAGGAGCAAAAGAATTATGCAACTTAATGTACCTTTCCATTAGAAACACCAGGTCATTATTGTTCTCCACCCTAAGAAAAAGATTTATTTCCTTGTGATTTCTGTTACTTGATGGCAATATTCTAGATAAAAAAAGTTTATTTAAGGTATGAATTTAATACGCCTGAGAGCATTTTTTTCCTTTCTTTTTTTTTGATGAAATATGCATTCAGGCTCCTGGAAAACATTTTCTTCAACATTGCCTGCAGCGAAATGGCTGAGCAAACAACCCAGGTGATAAAATTGAATCTGATTATCATATCCTCACATTTGGTCGTTTTCACATGACGTCATCACAGATCACGAGGCCATGGTGGTATGCTAAAATATTCCTTTGCTCCACAATAGTGATTTTTCCATTACTGCTTACCCTGTGAATGAAAAATGTACAGAAGATATTACACGGTGGAGAGAAGATATGAATTGTGTATTCGAGGAGCAATTAACAGTATCTCTCAAGCGCATGCAGAGAAAGAGTGAAAGATATTTAATTGTTCTTATCACGAGAACATAAATTTCATATCTTCAGCTGGCTAACGTGTTATTATTATTTCATTTTATTATACGGACCGAAAAAATACACATGGTAGAAATTGAAAGGCTGAGTTTAACATAGATACGTCAGTCTGCCGTTCTTACAAATGCTGAGCTTTAAACATTATCTGGAATGCAGGGGCATCCAACGACGGTTTCCTCCTAAATGCATTGAAAAGTCTTTTTAGGCTACCCAGAGTACTTTCAGATATCTAGAAATGCATTCCAAGCAGCGCTATAAAACTTGTATCTGTTCGGCCAACCTAGGGTAACTCAAGGCTTTTCGAAATTACAGGGGCTTCAGTGACTTCAGTGTTATTTTCCCAAAAATTTTAAATGGCATTGAACGTTTTACGAAAGTGATAATTTTTCTTATTCCTCTCTCCACGGCATTAATGTTTTGAATCCGAAAGTTTTAGGTTTCCTTTTTCAACGAAAATTACCCTAACATAAGGAGCCAAATATGATACCTCTCTTTTCTGATTGCAACTTACGAAATAATTCCCTGAAAGTCTTTAGATCATACGGCACTTCTTTAAGCTTTCTGGTGTCCCTGTTCTTTTGTTTATCACATAATATCTTCGTTGCTCTACGGGAGAAATACCCAGTTAGCTACTTCTCTTTTATGATGGCAACTTACGAAAAAATTCCCTGAAAGTCTTTAGATAATACGGCACTTCCTTTAAGTTTCTGGTGTCCCTGTTCTCTTTTTTATCACTTACCATTGATAACGAATCTTTCGACGGCCATATTTTTTCCGAACAGTAAACATTCAAACAAAGATCATACAACAAAGTTTCAAAACGCCGAGGAATCGTGTCGTTCAGATGGGAGCCGATAATCCGTCAGCACTCTTCCTCAATTTGTGTGTCAACTTCCACAAATGGGTTAGGGTGGCATTTTGAGGTTAAATCTGACCAGCATTTTGTGCAGCGAGTTCTATGGTCACGATATTGACTACAAACTTGCTAATAGTATCTGTTGTAGTTATTTTTTCTCAGGTAATTTTTGTTTTTTTCTTTGCTTTTGGGTATGGTAATGTATGCTTATGAAATTGAAACAACTAAAACCAAAAATTACCTGAGATAAAAAAATTAAACTCTGAGGCTTCTTTGCTGAAGTTAGAACCGTCTGCCGTTAAGGGGTACGAATCTATTTACAGTTTTTATAAATAAAATTGCGGTTTTAAATATACGCCAATATCTCAAACGTTTTGATGCCTACACAAAATAGATAACATTTTCTTAAAAATCCACTACATTTTTAATTGTATAGATATATAGTTTTGAGCAAAGGCTCACCTGGTATTTCAACTATGATCAATTTCAAGAGAGCATAAAGGCGTTGTTCCAAGGAAGACTAGGGGTTCGGGGTTAATGTCGTAAATTGCGGTAATCGCGGGGAAGAGTTTCAGAAAGATTTGAGGGTCTTGTAAAAGGGAGGGCCTTTTTACATGAAGGTGGGAGACCCCAGTTAAGTAAGGTAGCCCGCTTTGGTGAGGTAACCCGTCTGTCCATAAAATCTCTCATTTTAATTTGATCACGGTTACATGTTAGGTGCGGTGACCCGCCGCATGTTACTTCACCTATCTGGGGTCCCCCACCTCCATGTAAACAGACCCTAAGCAATGACGACGGCGACGGCGACGGCGACGACTACGAAAACGTCGCTTAAAGTGAATTCGCGCTGCTTCAAACTTAATCGCGCTTATTCCATCTCGTTCAGTTCGTCAATTTTTGCCATTTTTTCTGGAGTTGAAATTTTAAAGACCCTATCGAAATTCGGGAAAAGAGAAAGAAAGTCGTTGTCTTCTGTTCACGTCATCCACAAAACGCGAAATTAGGTTCACGGCGTAGTCGTTCAGTGACGGCAAAGGAATGTACAAACAAAGCGTGTTGCACGTGCAGTGCACGCGAAGAGTCGTTGTTTTGCCAATCAAAGCCCATCTATTGCTTTTTTGCCGTTCTCGTTGACGTCGCCGTCGTCGTTGGTTAAGCTCCCTTCAAGATGAATTTAAGACGTGAGAATTTTTCCTCGTTCATTTTGTTTATTCATACATCAGTGTATGCAAGAAATTTGTTACAGCAATTTGAAGTGCACAATTTCTCTTTTTCTTGTCCGTAAAAGTGAACTGAGCTCCTCCAAGCTTCCGTAAACAGCAGTCTATAAAACAAAAAACAACAACATCAACAAATGATTTTGAAACTGAAATAAATAACAATTACTAATGGTGGATAGATAAAGCTTTACCTGTAAAAACTTCCAAACTAAATTTTGTTGTAGGCGTTTATTCGAGGCTGGGCGCTTATTAAATGTTCACCATTTTCAGCAGCGTAGTATGTATACTTTGCAACAAAACATTAA